GCCCAAGCGTCTGCGCGCCCCCGAGATCGACGGGGGTCTCCTGGCGCAGCCTCGACGACATGAACGCGGTGCCTCGCGGCGGCAGTCGCCCGCGGACCTCGCGGAGTTGGGCCCTGAGATGTCGACCCGCGTCGCAGCGGGGGTCAGAAGCTGGCGGCGCTGCGCCAGATCTTCACTTCTACCTTGCAGCGGGTACTTCTGCAATGGAATGCGATTGCGACTGTCTAGGCGGAACCGGGGGGATTGCGCGAGGCTGGCGCGTAAGGCGGCGCTCCCGTTTCGGTCGCATTCCGAGCTCGACTGCTACGACCTCAGGACCAGCAACAGGTGCTGGCCTTCCTCTGCCAGACGCAGGAGTATTCAGATATGTTCCAGCTGCTCATCAGTCAGTCGCCATGAGAGAGGTTCTCGCCGATTCCAAAGTGGAGAGAAACCAGGCGCCCGAGGCGGGGGGCGACCAGACTCGCCCGGGGTGGCTCGACCCGCGCTGTCCATCGATCTCTAGAGAGGTTCATTTGGACGACATGGAGCTTGCCAGGGCCCTGCTCACTTGCGCGCCTATCGCGAGATAATCTTCCAGGGTGGATGAGTCCAACCACGCGGTCTCGCTGTTCGCGCCAATGGATTTCCGTCGTCATTGCGAGCAGGTGAAGCTCGACATGCAGGATGTTCGCTCGGCCGCCGCCGCCGCGCAGGCGCGGGCTGAGCAGACTCCGCCTCATGAGAAGAAGCGTCTTCGAGCGCGCGCGGGGGCAGAGTGGCGGCGGGGGGAACTCTGCGCCCCGACAGGTAACACTCCCCCGCTCCAGGGCCTCGTGGGCCCCTCGTCTGGGCCCCCCCTCGGGCCCCCGCCCCGTCTGTCGCGGCCCAGGCCCGAGAGCAGTCGGCCCGCGTTCTTGCGCCAAAGATTCCGCCGCGCTCGAGCACCTTCGGAAGAGTTTTGACAAGCGTGTCACGCCTTCGAATGGCCCCGGGCTTTCCGGCCGACGCAGGAGATAATTTCGCGCGCGATGGAGCGCGCCTCGCCCGCGGCCCCCGGCCCCGATGGGCCCCCCTGCGCGGCGCAGCAGCAGGCGAAGCTAGCGGCGTCTGTGCTCCTTGATACGTTGCAGACCCTGTTAAGTGGACGCCTTCCTCCAGTGGCTCTCAACGATCTACTTCTAGCTGGGGGGCTCCTCGTTTGTCCCAGGGGAACCAGCTGCCGCGAGACCCGTGTCGTTGAAGAACGCAGGCGCCAATATTCTGGCATCGGCTTGCAACTTTTCTTTGGGGCCTGTCCTCGCGGCAGATGCCCGCGTGGGCCGGCGAAGTTTGTTTGCTGGGAAATTGCGCGGACAATGTGACTTTCTTGGACAATCGGCCCGTGCAGCCAGCGCGCAGCCTGACGCGCGGGATCAGCTCCTTGCCCTGCTGCTGCTCGAGGCCGACAATGCCTTTCCTTCCCTCGCCCATCTCTTTCTGTAGCTCGCTCTCGAGCTCATCCGCTTCCTTTCTGGCTTCCAGAATTTCGCCCAGGCCACGTGTGCACTCGCAAATGCTTCGGTTGCCCTGCAAGGTATTTGTGAGTTCTTCTGCTACGTTGAATAAGGAGTCATGCAGGGTGGTCCGCTGAGTGGCTCGATGTGGGCTATTTGTATGGGCCCTCTAACTCGAGCGTGCGCAAGAGGCTAAACATAAACGGAGGGGCCAAGGTGGGGGTTTCTGCTGACGAAGTGGGGGTGCTTTTCCAGGCCCTGAATGCCCTTGCGAGTCTGCCTGGGTCTGTTCATGCGGCCACATCCTCGCGGGCCTCCAGTTGCAAATTCCGAAGTGCAAATTAATCCCAGTCGGAGCCGCCTTCTTTCCACAGCGACAGCAGCGAGTGCAGTCCTTCCTTGTGTCAGTGTCAGGAAATGCCCCCCCCCCGTCCCAGTTGTCGAGTGCGCGGGGTACGCAGGGGTGCGAATCGGCCCAGCAGCGACGAGATAAGTGACGCGGTGTTGAGCGTTTCGTGAGTGGCGCTGTGTGATTCTGGAAATTATTGCGACAAAGATTGCCCCCACAGTAGCAGTCACTCTTTGCTGCTCGAGAGCCGTCTCCAAATTCGGCGACCTCTCACAGTTCTCCCCAGTGCTGCTAAATATTGCCAATTGGGAGGGTTGGGCTTTGCATCGTGTGCTCCACCTTCCCATGTTTTCTTCCTGCGTTCCTCCCTTTTCTTCCTTCGCTCGCGGTCGAAGGTCCGTCTTCAGTCGATGCGCGTCAACACCGCTGCGGCACGGTTCAGCTCAGCCGTCAGCGCGATCACGCATTGGCCCAGATTGTGGGAGAAACTCCACGACCAATGCAGAAAGCACCTCCCCATCACTTCCCGGGTCGGGGGGCAATGGTCACTTAGCCGTTCGACAGCCAAGCCGCTTGTTCAGGAGCTCGCTGCTGCCGCCGCCCCGTTCCTTTCCGATCCGGGATTTCACGAACCAGTTTGCTCAGCCCGCCGTGTCCTGGGTTTCGCTCTCGAGGACAATCCCAAGGCCTCCATCCAGAGAGCGATTGCTCGGGGCGTGGAAGAGACGTTCCTGGTCGACTCCCTCGGAGAAACCATAGTGAAGCGCAGTGCAAAATGGACCTCGAGGGCTCCATCTGCCCGTGCCCTGGCTGCCATGTCCTGGCCGTTTCCGAACTGCTCTTGCCCTTTTCTCTCCTGCCTGGCAAATCTCGACGATCAAAACGTTGGCCGCAGGGGGGTGACGGTGCGGCGGATGTGTCCACAATACTGCCTCTGCAAATTCGGGTGTCGAAGCGAGCTGGATTCACAGCGCCACTACCTCAGCTGCCCTGGACGGTGGTGCTCAATGCGTGGCGGCCCCAGGGTCCCATTGAAACGATAATGGATCGAAGGCTCGCCCTTACTCGCTCGATGACCCCAGATCAGCAGAGATGCTCGCGATCCAGAGAGTGGTTTTAGCGTTTTCACTGTGTATTCACCGACGTCACGGATGGCCGATGGGCGACTGTGTCAGGGCACAGCAGCAAAATGAGGTAGATGTGCAACCCCGAACTTCATTCCGAGCTACGTGCGAGCAGGAGGAGGAGGAGGAGGAGGAGGAGGAGGCGGAACAAAGGAACAAGAGTGTGCGGATGCGAGCTTTGCTGGCGCATTGCAGAATTCCGATTCGTGTGCTGAGGGGGGCCGAGGTTGCAGGGAACGTGCCAGGGTTGAAGTTCGCCTACCGCGCTCAACCGTGTTGCCCTGGCCATCGACAGCGCCAGCCTGTTTGATTGACAGCAGCGGCCAGGGAGCAGCGGTGGGGGGGGGGGGGGCAGAGAGGGGCAGGCGCCGAATTAGGTGCGTTCGCCCACCCCACCCACCCACCCCTTTCCATTGCACCATCCGCCGACTGGTTTCATAGCGGAATTGGGAACCCCAAAGGGGACCCCATCGTGTGAGGCGCCATCAGAGGAGGGGAGATGGGTCCATTGTAGCAGGAAGAGGTGGCGGATGGGCAAGAGCAGGAGGAAGAGGATGAGGACAGGGAAGGAGGAGGACGATGAGGAGAGACGCTGGGGCGGTGTGGCGTTTGCGTGCCATCGGCAGGCCGCGGCGACCCAGACCCAGCGAATCCGATGGCCGCGGCCAGCGAACCGGCCTCGATCGTCAGGCCCCCTGCCTGCTGCCCCCCTCCCCCCCCCCGGGCCCCCCGGCCCAGACCCATCCGATCGGTTGCTGACACATCGCACGGCGGGCGGCTTTGGGAGTATTCTCGGCCCGCGGAGGCCCTCGCCGGGCCCTGGGGCCGCCACGCGACAACTCGGGGACGAAGAGCCGGTCCTGGAGAGAAAGGGTCGAGACCGACGCGGAGCCATCATGATGCCGGGGGTCTGGGGGCATCTCGTGCCCCCGTTCTCATCGATGCGTGGGCCCTCGGACCCTCTGGACCCCTTCCCCAGGGGCCCCCGCAGCATTTCGTCGACCGCCCCGCTGCGACACGGTTCCAGGAAAAGCCTCGCTCCACGGCAGTGGAAGCGATTCCGTCAGGCCCCGGTGCTTTGCACAAGTTCGAGGTGCTCGGCGTGCCTTGCCGCGTTCCGCAGTTGCCTCTCGTGCAAGTTCGGTGCCAAGAAATCAGTATCGTTTAGCTTGTCCCTATCCCTATCCCCTTCCCCTTCCCGATCCCCACCATCCCACCACCCCGGTTGAGGATATCCCCCTGGGAACTCGAAGGAAACAGCCTATGTCCCCGTCTAGGGTGTTACGTCGGCCAGTGCTGCGGCCCAGGCCACGCTCGTGGGGACAGGGACCGGCGAAGCGATGCTCCAGCCAGGGTCGGCCTTTCGCCACGAGTCGTTGTTTCGTCGACCCTGAGGCCCGAAGGCGGCCTCCCCTCTGGAGGCCGAACACGGCGGTGATTGTGTGGCCGCTCTGATCTTGTTCGAGAGGCGCCAGACGTCCGGCTGCCGCATCCCACGCCCCCAAAAGGAGAGAGGCCCTTCGAATCCCGAAGAGAACAGCATATACAACCCCCCCCCCCCAAACGTAGACTACCCACCTAACGTAGCCGAGACCTCGGTGACACCGAGTCCGGCCCGCGCGGCATGGGCGGGGCACCTGCACTCTGGCGACACGATTGTCTCGGAATGATATTCCTGCTTGCGCGTGGGCCACATCTCTGATTGAAAATGTTGCTGTCGCCTAGGCGCCGGCGACATCCTTCATTGAGCGTGTTGTTCCCGCCTGTGCGTGGGCCCATCTAGGGGGGTAAATCGGCCAGGGGGGGGACAAAGGCCATGTCAGTGGGCATGGGGATCGTTTTCCAGACCCCCGACGACATGATTGTTTCACATCGTGGACCCCCAGAGCTGTCGACCTACTCCCTGGGACCTGATGTCCGTCCTGAGTCTTTTTCTGACTGTTCCAGGGCCCAGCGAGGGTCCCCGCGGGGCGAAAAGAGCGAAGAGGCGCCCGCTGCGGTTTTGTCGTGGCCCGAGGGGGCCTGGGTCCCACGCCCGCTGCCCGCGCGCAGGTCTCCCTTTTCGTGTACGACAAGCGGATAGACATGCTAGTGCTCAACGCCTCGAACCTGGACACTTCCAGGGGCAACAATAGGGGAGAAGAGGCATAAGGGGGGATGCATCGACCCTCAATCGCCTAGTGATCGCCGATAAGGGGTTTGATAGCCCAAACCCGCCCAGGAAAGTGCGGATTCCTCTCGCTTCGCGGGGTGCACGTCCGGAGCACGTACAGTCACGTCGTCGCGGAGCCTCTTGGGAGCCTCCTGGGGGCCTCCTGGAGGCCTCTTGGGAGCTTCTTTGGGCCTCTTGGGGGCTTCTTTGGGCCCCCCCCACACTCTCTCCCCATCTTCCCTTCCGGCGCCGGCTCTAATCATGGGCGCCGCCGTGACCAACTTCCACCTGGCTGGCGCAGCGCCGCAGTTCGCCCAGGGGGAGAAAAATAACATTACACTCCAGTCGTTGTGTGGCCTTGTGGGGGCTTCTTTGAGGCCTCTTGGAGGCTTCTTGGGGACTTCTTGGAGGCCTCTTGGGTTTTTTTTTGGAGCCCCTTGGGGGCCTCTTGGGGCCTCTCGTGGCCTCTTGGGGGCGTCTTGGCCGTCTTGGTGCGTTTTTGCGCCGTTCCGCCCCTTCGGAGGCCGTCTTGGGGGCCTCTCGCGGCCGCCTTGGGGTTCTCTCGGGGTCCTCTTGGGCCGTCTCAGGGTTTTTTGGGACCGCCTTGGGGGCCTTTTTGGGCCGTCTTGGGGCCCTCCTGGGCCGTTTGGGAGCCCTTCTGAGGGCTTCTTGGGTTTTTTTGTAGCAATTTTGGTGGCTGCCTGGGCGGCCATGGGCTTCTGAGAGTCGAGAAAGGCGAGAACGCTAGAATCATCAAAACAATTCAGGAAAATTGAAGATTTGGGCATCTGGAGGCACTCTTGGGGGTCGTCTTGGGGCCCTCTTGGGACGTCTTAGGAGTTTCTTGGGCCCTTTTGGGACCATCATGGGCCGTCTTGGAGCCGTCTTCGCCCGTCTTGAAGCCATATGGAGCCGTCTTGAGGCCCTATTGGGCCTCCCAGAGGGCCCAAAGTCCCGAATCATCGATTTTACATAGGTTTTGGTACGCTTTTGAACCCCAAATGGGGGTAGCCACCTTGGGTCCACGGATGTGGCGTAGCCCCTGGGGGGGGGAGACATAATAATGTAACACCATACAGCATGTGGGAATTATGCAAACATTGGACACATTGGATCCACTGCATTAAAGCATCCGCGGAAAACGCTGCCGCTCAGCACGTCACTTCCAGACTTGGATTTGCTGTCGGGAGCCTATCGCCGATCTGTCGGCGATGTACCTCCAATTCCACGTCGATGTTCCCCCCCCATGCCAGTCATCCCCTATCGTCGCGCCTCTGCTCCGTGGGTACGGGCGGGTTCGCTTTTGCGGCGCCCCTCGCGGCTGCGGGCTGCTCGGCCCCGTCTCGTGAGAGGCAGCTCGTCGGGGAGGCCCCAGGCAGCGGCGAAAATTCAGCGCGAATCCGAGATCAATGTATTTCGAATCAGAGTCATCATAAGAAGAATGAGAATCCGTTTCCGCCGATTCCCTTGCCGCCGAAGTGCCCTTGTCTGGGCTCGGGCTAGCACCTGCTGTGTCCGCCGCGTTGCATGGCGCAGGCGATCTCTATCGCCGGGGCATCCCCACTTACCAGGCATCCTTTTTGCTACAGGTACGCATCTGCTTTGAATGAAGCTCTTTCGGCACGGATTGAAGGCGGCCTTTGCGGTCAAGCCGAGCCTCAAAAAAAGAACGCATGGGAATGGTAAGAAGTTGCGGCCTTGACAGAAATAGTTGGAACTCTGCGTGCCATGGAGGGGGTCAAGTGCCGATCCAGGAAGCCCGCGCCGACCTCAGGAAGCAGTCTGTTGATGCCGTTGTTGTTCCCCTTGCTGTCGTTGATGCGGCATGGCGGTCTGTGTGTGTGCCATTGCTGCGCGTGCGTTCGCCGCAAACCCCACCGCGGTGTTGTACAGCCGCGGCGTGCATCTTTGCTGCATCGTGAGGGGCAGCCCGCACGTTCTGCAATTGGCCTCGGAGGTCGGGCGCGCTCCCGTGCAGCCGCGTGCGGCTCGCTCGAAGGCGCGGAACCGTGGAGGCGGTGAGCAGCAGATCACACCAGCGGATCCAGGGCCTTCCGCGTGCTAAACTTACTACTTCTCCTCGTCTTCCTCCTCTCGAAGAAGAGAAATCTGTAGACACACGGTCGGTAACGTTTGGTCAGCGCGTCGTTCCGTTTGGCAGTAGTAAGAGCTCAGCAGAGGGTCGAGCAATCGCTGAAACAGCCGAACGGGGCCAAGCAGCTGACCGAGAGCAGAGCCTCGTCACGGCTGCTTGCCCCCACAAACATAATACATGGGGACAGTGGAGTCCAGGGATTTCTTGAAGTGGCCCCAGCCGTTAGAATCGAGATCACAGGACAGCTCAGAAGTACCCAGCTGCCCGTGGCAAGTCTCGCCCCTGCATCAGCTCATCGATCTAGGTGGTGATCATGCAAGGGGCGCACAGGAGGTCGTAACGTGTGACACCTTGTGTCTCTAGGCTTGGGGCTTGGGAGAGCCACAAGATGTGACACGCTCTCCTGCGTCGTGTCGGTGTGTTCCTCTTCGTCCTCGGCGCCTGTTTCGTCCCGTCCTGATGCTTGTCTCTTCATGACCCTCCTGCCCGAATCCTTTTTCCTCCTGCCCCATCACCTGTGTGGCGACGGTTGGGGCACGGTCCAGAAGGCCGTACCGTGCTACATTTCGGCCGTCTTGAGGGTGTTCTGGGATGGTGAGAGATCGTGATGGGATGGGGTAGGAGGGTGATGAAATGATGACGATGATGCGTATCCTGATGATGATGTTGATGTTGAGAATAGTTACGATGTGCGGAGGAGGGGGAGGATCAGGCGGGGAGGATCAGGAAAGCACTGACGTCACAAGTGTCACCTGTTATCCCGCTTGCCCCTGAAATCCGCAAACGGTACAAGCCAGCCGCTCTTAGGCCAGCGCAGCACACGGTGTGGGGACATCTCGAGCGTCGCCATAAGGCGGTTACGTGGGACACATCGAAGGATTGCAAAAAAACCCAAGGATTTCAAAAAAAACAAGGGTTTTTTGCAATCCTTCGTCCAAGGGTTTTTTTGCAATCCTTCGTTGCAATCCTTCGTATAGCAGAGTGAGGGGGGCCAGACGGTCTTATGCCATCCTTGGGCTTGTGCTTGAAGTGGGCTTCCGCGGTGAGGATTGTTGTTGTTGCTTGCTGTTGATTGTTGTCGTCGTCCTCGCTCGCGACCCGCCCGCGACCCACCTGCGACTCACCCGTGATCCACCCCGCGACCCTCCCACACTGCTTGGACAACATGTCGGCGCTTGCGGCGGGCCCGTTGTGCAACATGAGCAAGATCGGCGCCTGCGGTGGGCTTCTTCAGAGGCTCGCAGACTGCCGACGACCCCGCCGCCGCATCACTCTTACCCGCAGGTGCGGGGGCTACAGTATTCTGTGGTCGGCTATCATGTGATCTTGAGTTATCTTCTTGCTGTCTTGTGTTTCGGTGGGGCCTTTTTGGGACTGTCTTTGGGTTCTCGTGGGCCGTCATTGGGCCCTCTTCGGCCGCCTTGGTGTCGTCTCCGGCGCTTTGGGCCGTTGTCGGCCGTTTGAGGGTGTCTTGGGGCTGTCTTCGGGGTCTCTTGAACATCTCTTGGGCTATCTTTGGGATCTCTTGAGCTGTCCTGGCACCCGCTTGGCTTGTTTTGTGCCCTTATCTAGGCTGTCCGGAGCCACATGGGGAGCTTCAGGGGATCCTCATTGGACTCTTTCGGCCCATCATTGGCCCCTCCGAGGTGCCATTGCAACCGCCTGGAGCGGAGGCTGCCAGGGAACCTGATCAATTCGTCAGGTTTTCTCGTGATCCTGGCCTTCATGGAGGGCCTATTGGCCTTGTCCGCTTTTTGTGTCCAGGCTTTTCGTTCCCTTCTGAGGCAATGCTGAGCCAGCTTGGCGGCCGTGGTGGCTCTCCCGGGCCGTCTTGGAAGCCCTGGGGAGCCTCGGCAAGCCCCAGGGAGCCTCGCGATGAGGGGGGGATGCATGCAGTGAAGCGTGAGGAGACGGGGGGGCCTCAAATCAAGGAGTCACAGACATGGATCAGCGGCGGGTCCCGTTGCCGTGCAGAGTCGACGCGCTCCGTCGCCAAGAATCAGGCGGCATTGGCCTCATGTCTCGATGGCACCTGCCCGATCCGTGGATCCGGCACCCACGCGCCAGGTCCACGGATCCGTAATCCATATCAGCGTGTGCCCGATGAGAAGTTTTTAGAAGCCCTACCAAGCAGCACTTGGCGGTCTACCACGCGTCCACGTACCAGGGGGGAAGGCGGCGGATAAGCAGCGCGTCGAGGGCTTTCGTCCAGGGCACAGTTAGGTCAAGACAGGCGGCTCTTGCAGTAGCTCGTGTGGCAGGCTGACCGTGGCACTGCAAACGGGAGGGCGAGACACTTTATAAAATGTTTGAGCCCCGCGCGGACCTCCAACCGTTGATGTTTGCGCAGCTGTTCTTCTAATGCCGTCTCCCCCTCCTCAGGGAAAACAAAGATCGTCTCGACCCCTTGGCGAGGTGGCAGGCTGCACGGCGCTCGGCCTCGTGGTTTGCCAGACGACGATTGCGAGGCATCGTCCAGCTCGATCCTCATCCCACTCCCCACCTCCGCTCCCCTCCTTTCCCCTCCCCCTCCGTTCTGCATCCTTACACGCCGGTCGTTGAACATAGGTGCTTTGGGATGCCCAAGTCCTGATCTACTTTAGGCACCTTCCCACTTAAAGAGTCGAGCGGCGTTCCCTCTTCCCTCCTCTTCGGGGGGTGGGCGGAGACCCAATCTACTTCCGACGCCTTCCCACCTCATGCTCCTGCCCACTTCTTCCGACCGACGGGCACCCCTTTCCTCGCCTCCTGCCCATCACGCGTGGTTGGGCTGGAGGAGGAGGAGGAGGAGGAGGAGGAGGAGGAGGAGGAGGAGGTGGCGAAGAGGTCCAGACCTTTCCCCCCCCCCCCCCCGGGGAACCGCTGCTTCACCGCGAGAGTTGTTTCTGTCGATTGTCCTGGGGCCCTGCGGGTGCCCCCCCCAGAGGCCGCCACGTGCAGCCACAGCAACACAGCACACGATGTGAGTCTTGACAACGTGAGGTTTTCGGCATCGTTCGGACGTCTTTTTTTTTGTCGGCAAGGGCCATCGGGGAGCATTATATACATATATTCCTACACTTATATATTATATATGTGTGTGTATTCGATCATCAGACGAAAGATATATGCACGCACGGAATCGAAAGATGCACGGGGAAGGGACGTCCGAGCGATGGCTAGGGAATGCCTGGGTATCCTTCGTCGGCGGTTCAAAGATGGAGCCCTGAGGGGTGTTTCCTAAGGACCCAGCAGCCTCATAGCGAATGTTCAGCTTGCAATCCCTTGCGTACCCTCGGGGCCGAATTTTTTGGATTCCACGGCTTCAGATGTCCGCGCGGACCTCCTGGATCGGCGGCGCCCGGGGGGGCCAGCGCGGACCCAAGAAATTGGCGCGCCCCGTCGAACGTTTATGTCTGTGCCCTTCCACTCTCCTCTGCGGCACGGAAAAGCGCGGGCGGCGCCGCGCGCCAGGAGTTCCCCATCCGGGTCAAGCCTGGGCAGGGCATCGCAGGCCGCTCTCCCTGCCGCTGACCGCGCACCCTCTTGGGGGGGGCTGGGCCGCGCGGCGGAGCGAGATCGAGCGATCACGGCGGCGAAAGTCGAGGAAGGAACTTCGGTAGTCGGTTTGCACCATGGCCCCCCCACAGTTGCGGTTGGGAGTGAGGGGGCGGCGGGGTGGAGCGGGGGCTGGAGGGGGGGTGGAGGGAGGGGTGGAGGGATGCGCGGATAGGGGAGGGGTAGATGGCGCGGGCAGAGGGGGGGTGGAAGGGGGGTCCAGTACCCAGGGACAGGGGTCAGGGGGAGAGGTGAAAAACTTCTACCCGACGGGGAAAGCAGGAGGTTTGAAGAACTAACTCGTTCAAAACCACCAGAGCCCAAAGGGCTAGAGGGATCACCTCTCCCCAACCTTATCCTCGTTGAGATCAAGTTCTTATACTCGAACACATAACGCGCGTTATGTGGCCTCCAACCCACCCACCCACCCAGTAGATAACATAGCGCCCGCCGCCCCACCCACCCCCGTTGCAGCAGCGCGTGTTGTTTAGCGCACAGGTATGCTGTGCGTAGTGCGCGCGCAACGTGTTTGCAGCGTGCGCAGGCATGTGCTTGTGGTATGTAGAGGCGCGCGGCGCGCGCAGGCTGATGTAACACCCACGCAGGCGCGGCGGCACACCCAGCAGTGGAAACAACGAGCTGTTCGGCGTGCGTGGCGCACACGCCGGCTGCGGCGGCAATTGTGGTGCACACAGGCGCGGTGGTGTCCAGCATTGTCGTACGCAAAAATAATTACTGTTGTCCGCGCAGGCAACGGGGGTATGGGGCCGTGCCCTGGAGGTGTACACGGGCTTTGTGGTGTACGCAGGCACAGCGATGTACATGCTGGATGTGTATACAGGCACAGGGGTGCATTCGTACCGAGAAGACGTCTGACGGTGCGCAATTGCGCACCCTATTTGAGGCCCTCTTCGAACGCTCTTGGGTTCCTTTAAGCTCCCTTGGGGCACAAAGAGGCTCCCAGGAGGCTCCGAGATGGTTCCGTGAGGGCACCAAGACGGCTCCAAGACGACCCCTGGAGATGTGCAACGGCCATAGCAGAGGCTTCCAAGATTGCCCCAAGACCGCCCAAGAGGCCCCTAAGACGGCCCAAGAGAGGCCCAAGACGGCCCAAGAGAGGCCCAAGAGAGGGACCACGAACCGAAAATTCAGCTTCCCGCCCTAAAAGGCCCGCAGAAGGCCCCAAGAAGCCCCCAAGAAGCCTCCGTAGCCATTTTGGCTCAAGCCATTTTGGCTCAATCGTGGCTCGACAGCTTCGACTTTTGGGTTCGTGCTCCCCGCGCGCTTCGGCACTGGACGCGGCCGCCTGAGGCGAGCGTGGCGTGCCCCATCAACTGCCACTGCGACTATGGCATGTCTGGCATCTTGTTGGGCATATTTGTAATTCTCGCCGCGGGCGTGTTCACCTTCTTTCCCGTCTTCCTGAATTGGTTCGCGTGGGAGTGGTACATCGACCTGTGCTGGCTCTGGTTTTGCCTCGGGGTCGTCATCCTGACGTTCGCCTGCGTCTGCGAGTGCTGCGTCGGCGCTCCCGACGCGAAGGCCCGGAAGCCAGAGGCGGACGTCGAGGACGGCGCCGTGAATGCCCTTGCGCTTTACATTATGATCAACAACTAGTGAGTTTTGAGCCCGAGTTCGACGCTACGCCTGTTGAACTTGTAGACCGTTCATCATGTGTGTCCTCCACATGTTGCGATCTGCGTTGCCCCGGGTACGCTCGTGCAAACTTGCGACATACAGCGACAGACTCAGGTGACATGAGTATTGC